GTGACACGAGCACGATGCTGAGGGTGGCAGAGTTCGGTAAGGAGCAGGGGAGACGAGAGTTGAGCAAGCGAGTTTCCGAAACCCATAAGGAAACGTCCACCCATGAAGTAGTCGAGGTTCTTAGCGGCGGCCTGGATGGAAGCTGCGACAATCATGATGACACATCCGAAGGTAATGCAGGCGCGGCGACCAAAGCGATCGGCAATGAAGGGAGCGACAGGAAGCGAGGCAATCGAACCGATGGAGTAGAGAGCAGTCAAGAGACCGAGAGTGTCTCCCTTTGGGTCGCCGAAGAACTCTGTCCACCTGGGCAGAATGCGAAGGTTGTTCAACATGGAACTAGGGAAGGTTAGCTTTGATCAATTGAAGAACAGTAATGGAAAGGCTTACCCATCGTAACCTGTGGTCGCAGAAGCGATACAGATGAAGAAGGCGTAGAAGTAGAGCTTGCGGAGACCGGCGTCGGACCTCCAGTTGACTTTCTTCAGGTGAGGAGCCTCAGCCTGAGCAGCTTCGACGTCGGCCCTGCTTTTCGCAACGGCACCCATCTTGGGCGTGAACTTCTGGTAGAGACCCATGGCGTCCGACTCTTAGTCCGAAGACTGCTTGTTGAATCGATGTAACGAGGGAATGAGTGAAGGTTGGTTTGAAACACACAACCTTACACTGTCCTGGGCAGCAGGGTATATAAGCTGTTGACTTGTCGGGTTGGGCTGATTGCAGCTGAGCCTGGATAGATTGAACATGTTGGAGCTTCATATATATGCCTCCCGGCCTGCACGATACTATCCTCGCAGAGGACCTTGGCTCCAGAACAACGGTCTAGCGGACCGGTTAAATTCGACTGGAGAAATGTGTGGCACTCTGCGCGGATGAACCGCCGTATGGGGTAGAGTGGGCGGCAAATTGCCCAAAACGGTGGGGTCAAGGGTAGCTTGCCCAGACCCCAAGCTTCGTCTTGCCCATGAACGGATCATCTTGTTACCAGTGTCAAGTCGGCCTCGGCGCGCGGGACGGTCAGCCGTCAAGAACAACAAGAAGCCTAAGCAATGAGGCTCATTTGTCTTGTGATGGAAATGTTGGACCTGGCCTGATGGATGCATGCCTACAGTGCGACAAGGCCCGCCAGCCCGGTATGCCCTCGTGAAGCTCACCTGGGCAAGGACAAGCCTCCAGCCGCGACCTTGTTCCGGCTCGGCCATACAGGCTTGACACTTCTGCCAACCTTCTCGAAGGTCGTGATCAGCTGTGAGAGTGTCGCATGCTACGGTTGAATAGATTAACCAGCCACTAACCCCTTACTCTAAGCTCACGACTCCAGCGACCGAGAACGTGGGTCTGACAAGCGCATTTTCAGGGTCTCCCCATAATGATTGGGGCCAGCCTGGGGAAGACAGCAGAGCACGCGGAGCCGAGGTGATGAGGCGTGGTTGGCGGAAAGATGGAGCCGGATTTCCCCAGCCTGCTAACTCGATGGTGCCCCAAACACGTGATGGATGTGAGGCACGGGCTAGCGCCGAACGGCAGAACGCTCCTTCGTTCATGGCCAATCCAGCTCAATAACACACTCCGCGGAAACTCCACATCTGCAATGCGATATCCCGCTTTTCTTCTTACACCGTCAGCGCCTCGAGCCGTTCCCCAGAGGTTTCCCCAGACTGTTTCCCCAGAGATCAACAACAGCTAACGCGCTCCGAGGAGACCTCACGCGATACATTGCAACTGCTTCACCGGGCTCATTTACCACATCCTACCATCGTCTTATTTGATAGTACATGCTGCAAGCAGCACAATCCCTGATTAGCGTCCTGTCAACGTGATTCGGCCACCGTATAAACGGGCGGTCTCGCTTACGCCTGGGCGATGTCTGGGCCAAGCCGCCAACGGGTGGCTGGCTCTTCTTTCTATGCCAATCTTCCAACACTCTTGATCAGCCGAAGACGCCATAAGGTAGATGAGATCTAAGCATCCCGCTGCCCAGCCTGCACCGGCTGAATCACAGCAATTATTGAATGCGTTGCCTGCAGCTTCCCACGGCCCTGAACGCCTTCGACTCCTTCGCTGGATGCTCTGGCCGCTGTGCCTTCCTTTGGAACCCACAAGAAAGGGCCTGCATGCGCGGCTGATGCGGCAATTGCTTCTCCAATGCTTGTTAGCAATCCCGAACGGGCTTTCAGCAGACTTGGCTACTCCTGCATGCCGTGCCCGCCCGCACCTAAGCAATCTTTGCCTGCGTTGGCATTTTGTCTTATCGAAAAGTCAAGTCTGACTGCATCAAAAGCAGCCATCTCCGATGCATCACCCAGCATGGTGGGTTTGTGTACATTGAGGGCGCCTAAAGGTCGCGCAATCACATCGCTTTGTTCTGTGGGTTAACTAGCATCACGAGATGGGCAGGGTACTCTGTCGGATCACCCCAGACAATGTGCACGGAGTCAGCCCAAGTATCCACAACGCCCACCAACACCGAATCCTTTGAACCTCGCTTCCAGCCAGAAGAGCCACCAAAGCTTGGAATAGTCTACAGTAATCATGACTATGTGGTGCACCGATGCTGGTTTAGTGTACTCCGACTCCGATCATGCGCAGCCACTCAATGAGATCCCACGCTCGGACCGTCGTAGTTGTCGGGATCTCCAGCCGTTCTTTCCTCTACAGGGGCAGAAATCAATGAATGACCGTTCGAGGCGGCTGCGCGAGCACGAGATCTATGAAGGTCCTAACCAAGGCCTCCGTCCCGTTGGCCGCCGTCGAACAACACAAGCGCCGCGCCACAAAAAGACACAATTATCCTCAGAGCCTTGCCACTGGGGTATTAGGCTAAAAGGCTTCTCATCACGACTCGGTGGCTGCTCTAGTCGAGCCACTTGGTAAAACATTTCAAGAAAGCCAGTTGGGACGGTCAGTGCCGATTCAAGGTGTAATAGTTCGTCGTATGTCGTAGTGATCGGACCCAGTCCCCCATTTCGTTGGTTTAGTGGTATGTGATCGCCGTTCATGGACGGTTCAGTCCTCTGTCTTTCACTCGTGTGTCACTTCTAATTGACTTGAAAATAGACATGCGAGGAGATTGCCCATATCCTGGACGCGATGCAAGAATAGCCTGTACCAAACGGCGGCCAGCCTCCGATCTTTACCGTTCTCTTCCACGACGCGTGATATTTGACGATATCGACACGCCCTTCGTACAACGGTGTATGATGTGTGCCATCTGCAGATGTCCTGCGGCTTTGCTTTTTCGACCAAGCAAGTATGCGCATCCTGCGACACATCGTAGTAGTCAGAGAATACCGTGTTCTGCGTATCAGCTGACGCCATGTCTTGTTGTGTGTGCGCAGTTTGTAAACCCGCCGAGCGTTGAGCGCGAATGCGCCGGGATGCTGAGCACTACACACCCCCATATGTTGGATGCGCGCATCTCAATCAGATATGTCTCATTCTGACCGATAGCTCGCTGTTGACCTCGACAAGGAAACATGAGCTGCATTGTTCCGAGTAGGACCGCGTTCATTTCATTTCTAAATGTTGTGTCGACACCTATACGCCGGTAAACGGACCGAGAAGTAATATCATGGCCATATCTCGTTGTGTCAATTGACCGGTCTTCTGATCTCACGCACTCTCTCCGGCGAATGGGTATTATTTTTGTTAACCCTTGTTATCAATGACACAAAACTGCGAACAAGGACTACAGTCTTGGGGACCCCGTCGAATCCACGCCTTTGGGTCATCCGCCACGTTCACGGATTATAGGTCATTCGCGCACGACAGGCCTTTTCAGCTATCTAAGACAGACACCAGAGCATCCGGGGACTCAGTCTTGTGCAGGATCACAAGCCGTTCTCCAGTTGAAGCAGTGCCGAGAATAATGCTGCAAGCGACGATGGATGCTGAGCAGGAGCGTCTACAACCCAGACACTGCATTGATTGGGTGCGCTCACTAAATGCGCAACACTCATCCATTGCCTCTCCAGCTTGGTTTCCCAAAAACGAGGACAAGGTTGTATGCACGCGCACTGTTCGCTTGGGTCGATTTGCAGACAGGACAACAAGATGCTCACTAAGTCGCAACAACTAATCGTAGATTTCTAGTTAAAGATACATACCGGACGAACGAAGCGCTCAGACCACGAAACGTACGCACACTACAAACACGGACTACAACGAACATACAGACACGCGGCTGCTGAAAGAGCTGCATCCCACCACAATTGCGTCTTAGTCGCATCGCGTCCGTCAGGCTGAGTGGTCTGAACAGTCATCATTATGGTAGTTATTAACGAGCTGGGACCATTGGAAGCGATGAAAGCCCTCGTTGGACGGCAGGCCTTGTGCGTATGGACTCCAATCGAAGAGGCTACCGTAATGCGCGGGACAGCCATGGAGGCAACGAGTACAGGTATCGTTGAAGGCGAGACAATATCTGGACCTAGTGCCGGGCTTGCGCTGTGCCGATATGTGCAGAATGGGAAACTTTCCATGGTTGACAGAGGCGTAGGGCAGGCGATTTACGCGGCATCTACCTTGGTACCCAATAACGAGGAGTTCTCTGCGCACCTCGTAGCTTGCTAGCAATTCGGGACATTGCTAAACGGTATATTTGTAGGTGTATATGGCCTCCATCAGCTTTTTGGCCGTCGAGAGACGTGAAGATGTTCTTTCATCGTCTTGGTCAGCTAAAGTGGGTCCCGAGGTCCATTCGCGTTCCGTGGAGCATGCACGCGCCGTCATCCTTCGCAATGCATAGCCACACTCGCCCAATAGCCTCTTGCGCCCAGGACGTTACGACCACGATCAGCAAAATGTGGAGCAGTAACGGTTTGATACGAGGAAAGAAGTCTTGGGGCCGCGATTGATTTCTTGGGTGTGCCACCGAAGGCGCGCAGTTGACGTCCTACATCATCAACCTTAGCAACAACACACTTCGGTCCCAATTCACTCCACGATCGCTTTTCGCACGCACCTTCGCTACTAGTACATATCGCATCATCTATCAGATCATGTTTGCGAAATCAGGGCTTCTTCTACTGACCGCAGCGGCGGGCGTTGTATGCGACTTCATGGTCTACACTGAACCACCAATTCCCACGTCCGCCATCCCAACCTTTGCCAATCCATCCGATGTACGCTGAGCGCAAACCTGGGAGTCTATCGCTGTACTGACAATCACGCAGGCCCAGAGCTGGACGACCTCTGTCTTCCTCAACGCGCAGATAGCGTACGGTCGCTTCACGGAATCCCTCGGCGAACCCTACCAATCGTCTCTCACATCCGCGCGCTCCGAAATCGACGCCTTCGTCAACACCGCCTCGAATTACAGCATTCCAGCTGAAGTCACCATGGCCGACGAGACGCCCACATACTTCTCCAAGCCAGATTGGTATACAGCCCTGCCGAGTGCGGCGAGGTCATTCAAGGAACAGCAGGTCAGCGATCAGTTCAGCATCGTGAGGAACGTCATCGCGGCGAGGGCTACTTCTACAACTGGTTCCGAAGGAGCCGCGATGCCGACTGCACTTGCTGGACAGTGGCTGGGGGCTGAGTTCGGCGTCATGGCTGCGGCGGCTGCGGCTGCCTTCTTGTGAGGAACACAAGAATTTGACCATGGGTACATCGCATTTACACGAATAGAGTTCTAGACTGCAATCGTGTCCAGGAGGTACGCGTCACGAATATGGATTATGCTATACAATGGATGAATGGCGCGAAGAATGCCAATGAACGGACCTGTGCTCACAAGGTGTGGTCAATTTGGAGTCCATCTACCATGTAATGCATCGATCAGCGTAAGCAAACCAGAGATGTAACATGCTAGCACATCAAGCCAAGTTGATGTACGCCCATCAAATCCTCCGCGAAAATACACCAATCACGCACGTCCCTATACGCAGATGACCCACTCATGACTATGCATTCTTGGCGACAATGGCATGCCAATCTAAGGTAAATAGACTACAAGAGTCTGTAAGAGGGCATATAGAAGATCCAAGGAGAGGTGAAGCAGCCAGACTTCCTCTAGCAACAAAGAGACCATCCGTCTTTCAACAATGTCGACTTCCGAGCCAACCCACACACCACGACTCTGTCCTTTCTCAGTCCATGTCTACCCCATTCCTCCGATCAACCCGAAGACATGTGCATACGAGCGCCGCCATTCCAACTCGGCCAAATGCAACAACGCCTTGGTCTTCATTGGTGGGCTGGGAAGTGGTCCGCATACAACCCACTACCTTGGGCCCTTGAACGACGCTTTGGAGAGAGCGAGTTTGAAAGACGGAGCTGATGTACAGTACAGTATCTGGGAGCTGAGGATGCGAAGTAGTTATACAGGGTTCGGATATGGAAGCTTGAAGGAAGACGCTGAAGATCTGAAGGGGTTGGTGCAGTATCTGAAGGAGATTGGGATGAAGAAGATTGTGTTGATAGGGAGTTCAACTGGCGAGTCTATCCCACTGAGACGATATGCTCTTCTTCGGGTTTCGCTAGTTAATAACGAGCAACAAGGATGCCAGGCCATCATGACATACGCAACTACCCTGCCAGCGCCTCCTCCGGTTGACGGTTACATCATGCAAGCTCCAACTTCAGATCGCGAAACCGCTGGACTTCTTATGCCACAGGATCTCCTATCAGCCAGTCTCAAGCATGCCGAAGCTCTCATCGCTAAAGGTGAAGAAAAAACCATCATGCCCAATTCCTTCATTCCACCCATCATCACATCTCCCATAACAGCATACCGCTGGCACTCTCTAATCTCCTTTGGAGGCGACGACGACTTCTTCTCTTCTGATATACCAGTTTCCGCTCTCCAGTCCACATTTGGCAAACTGGACAAGCCGACGTTGATTCTGATGTCAGAGAAGGACGAGATGGTTCCCTCGACTGTAGACAAGAAAGCCTTACTGGAGAGGTGGGTTGATCAGATTCCAGATGGTTTTGCGAGAAAGCAGTGTCAGGTTATTCCATTCGATGCTGACCACGAGCTCTCTGGTGGTGAAGCAATGTGGTACTTCATCGAGACGGTTGTCAAGTTCCTCGAGGAAATCGATGAGAAACCAGCTGGAAAGACATGAAGATAGTCAAATTGATGGATCTCGATTGCATCGATCTTCCAGCGCAATGTTCTTGATGTCTCTTCTCGCTAAAGCACAACTCCACTCGTTTCACCCCTGCTCCTGGTTACGGTCAATATGACGTCAGTGGCCCATCTGCAACCCACCCATCCATCTCACCTTCCCGTCGCGCATGCGCGATGTATCGACCCCACTATGTCATGCATGCCGTTTTCCAGGTTTCTGGTTCAGCCAACACACCATTTAATCGCTAATGTCTAGTCTATGTTCTTTCTTTTGACGATACCCAACATTCCCGCCACCATTGTTACGCTACCAAAGCGCTCGAAATGGGTATACCGTACTCCCGCCAAATCAACGCTGCGTTCGAACAAGTAACACCCCTCGTTGCGGCGGGCTTCAAAGTCCTCCGCACAACACGCGATATCTCGATTTTACTTGCCGTCATCCAGGTCCTTACCGTTATCCTCTTGGGATTCATTCTTCTCGCGCTCCTCCTGCTTTTGTATTGTGTTAACCCGGATCTGGAGGTGCGTCCTTCCTCTAGCAATACCTATATCGATGATGTTAGATGCTAACCCTATGTAGGAAGAAAGAAAAGCCATTGTCACGCCATGGCTCCGGTACTTCGCTAGTATAACACTATGGTCGATATTCAAGACTTTGTTCTCGATGGTATTTGTTATGGGGCTTGCAGCGGCGGCGACATGGCACTTTTTCTTGGCGAAGCAGTGGGTAGAGGATGTGGAATATGAGGGCAACGTCGATGCCGAGAAAGCATTGGAGGATCTGGATGGAGATGGAGAAGGTGTCGATAATGGAGGAAAGAAAGGAAAAGGGAAGGGTAAGAAGTGAAAAGAAAGCGAGTTGGAAGCGAAAGGGACGCTGTCTGACATAGAACTGTGGATTATCTCAGTACTAAGACGACCATGCCGGGCCTACTTGACTACCATGACCAGGTAAAATGTGACAAGAGATACAATACTCGCCGGTATGTCTCCAAGAGCCACATCTACGTGACACACCCCTACAACACCCTCTTCCTCGCACTAAACCCCTCACTGTCAAGTAACAAAAGCGCAAACAACCCTCCCATAACCGGTCGAGCCTTGAAATCAATACCAGGAGGCTGCGTCCCATCGTTCGTCTGATAGAGATCGGTAAAAGGGTGGGAGTTAGGCGTATCATTCACCCACTTCGCCAAATCCCCGATAAACATATCCCTCGTCTCCTTACTCGCTACCGCAGCGCAGAAGACCTCCCAGTCGGACTTTGTGTAGTACCGATTCCGCGTATCGAGGGGTACGCCATACTTTTCCTTGATGGTGGGGTAGAAGGCGGATTGTATGTCGTAGATTTCCTGAGGTACGAGGTTGAGTCCGAGGAGGCGGTCGTTGTACAAATTGTAGAGGAGGCCATGTGTGGTTTCGTTTCCGTAGTTAAGAATAGAGTGAGGCGGGTTGTCGGCTTTGTTGATGCCCAGGTCGATCCAGCGGGTGATGTAGTCGTGGGCGATGGCGGTGTAGTTGTCTGCGTCTGCTGTTTCGCCGATGATACGCGACATTTGAGACATGGCTTCGAGGCCGATGATGCCTTTAAGTGCGAGGTTAGTTTGGTTGGAGAGTTTGCCCGCAAAGTCGTCGGTAGAAAGTTGTTCGGCTGGAAGGAGACTTTCTTCAACCAGATATTCAGTCCATTGCTTGAGGATGGGGTAGTGTTGAGTGATGTAGTCGGTGTTGCCGGATAACTGGACGTATGCGAGCATCATGAACATGTGGTTTCCGCATTCTTCCAGCGGCATGTGTTCGTCCAGACCGTCTGGGTGGCCGGTAGCGTTGGGGTAGTGTGCTCCGAGATCATGAATAGCGAACTTGTTTGGATAGTGCCCGCTTTCCTGGTTCTCGAAGTGCGGATCAAGCAACAGCTTGACTAATTCAGGGTTGGTATAGTAGAAGACTGGGGTGGCGGGGTAGATGACGTCCACAGTCTGCATGTTTCCGTTGGATGAGATTTCCTTGAGGAAGAGGTAATGTTTGTCTTGAGTCCCGACAAGCTGAGTCGCACCGAATGCCTGACGAGCAGCCAAGCTTGTCAGTACAGCGTAATCGTCTCCTGCAGCTGCTTTGGAATCGTTAGAGATCTTATCGTCGAGCTCCGTGGAGAGTCTGTTGGACTCTTGGTAGTCTTTATAGAAAAAAGAAAGGGCGGCGAGATCGTCTTGGAAGTAACTTTTCCAAAGTGACGGCACGTTGTTGAGGCCGTCAGCGCCCAGAAACTGTATAGCATCGTCTTGACATAGACCGATAGTGTACAGCTGGCTCTTCACGTCAGAACCGACAGAGCCCATATTTAGAGCGTATCCAAACACGGGCCACTCTGCGTTGATTGGTCGGAATTCGGAGTCTTCCGCGTTGTCTAGGCTTCCATCGTTGTCAAAGGCATCGCGGACTGCAGAGTCTGCGCCAGACTTATGCGTAAGACCTTCGACTGCTTCGGTGGAATAATACTGCTAATGTCAGATAATGATTCATCGCCTTTTGGTAGACTACTTACCCAGTTACCCCACTCTGCGCGGTCGTTGACCTCACTTAAGGTCTGTTGGTTTTGCTTCCTGATCTTGTGATAGCCGATACCATCGGATGTAGTACCATAACTCCACTCAGCTACAGCAGCGACATCGCCGGATGTCCATTCTATCTACTCGTCAGCTTGAGGGCATACATGAGAGGAGGGGGATGCTCACCAGCACTGATATCTGTATAGATCTGCACGTCATGTTGAGAGCCGTCTAGAGAAAAGACCTCGACGTTCATGTACGAGAAGATAAGAGACTGTCGCTTGAAGTCATAAGGAGTTATTGGTGACAGAAATGTAACTTTGAGCTGGACCGTATCGCCTGCGGTGATGGTGAAGATGCTCTTGGTCGACGTATATTCGTATGATGTCTGATTGGCGAAATCATTGTAGCCGTCGGGTTTTCCCATCCAGACAAAGGTATCGCCATCGACTTTGACCAAGCCAGTCCATCCTAGAATCTGACCACTGCTTGGTGTTAGCATGTATCCAACATATAGCGTTGAGAGGGATCTTACGTCCAGAACGATGGCCACTGGCCTGGAAGATAACCTCCATTTCCTCCATCACTACCGGCAGGGAACCACGTGCTCAAATATGGACTCTTAACGGCCAGTGGTAGGGAAGGTGGGCGAGCTGGAGTAAAGGTCGAGCTAGATTGTGCAGCAGTAGTAAGAAAGAAGGTGCACAGCACACTAAGAATGGGAAGGTACATCTTCAAGGATGCAAAATATTGATACCGGGCATGCGCGCAAACTCAGAGTAAGATGGGATACGAAGCTTATATAGACACGAAATCCCGAGTCGATCTTCCGTTGGTATCACCTCGTGCTCACTGCAGCTAGCCATGAGAGATGCAGGCACCGGTACGTAAGAACGGCCATTTCGTTTGTCGAAGGGGCCGTGATGTTTGTTGACAGCTTCATGCGTTCTACGGTCAGCACTAGCCTTGGATTTAACGTTCAAGTGACGATACAAATGTCTGGAAGAGTTACGGGCGAACCTAAACAGCATGGGTGTAGCGCCGAACTTTTTTAATATTACACCACGTGGTGAAACTTTAGTGTCACCTTACATTGTAGGCAATGAATCCATGAAGCTCAACAACAAGGCTTTTTATCGGTGGCCAAGACTCTTGGTCACTTTGGGATATGCGGTGGTTGACCGCATCCGCAGAGGCACGCCTGACGTGCATCATAAGGTTATGCTAGACTAGCTAGTCTCTGTGAGCACAAGGCTGATCAGTCCTCGAGACATGATGTTGGACTCCTGGTAATCAGTCGGCGAAATCAGGCGACCTTTTCTACTGCACTCTGAGCGTCGCAACAAGGCCTTGCCTGATTTGGTAGAGCATCCACCACCGCGCATTCAGAGGCGCTAGACAACGGTTTGCTTCTAGGACGGCAGGAGTGGCGACGTGAGTTGGCGCTGGCAGATTCACGATCCTCGTGATGCGACTGCTGCGGTGTTGATGAGCGACGAAGCACCGGTGTCCAGTAGTAGAGGGTACAAGTGACGTTGAACCACGGGTTTGGAACGAGTGGTACTTACAGTACACGAGCGCACTGCTAGCGTTGTAACCGTTTGGATAGGGAAGGAGCTAAAGCACTCGCAGCGCAGAAACATATGTGGGTGTGAGATACCCGAGAAGAGCCAGCCACGATAGCGCAACGCCGTCCGTGCTTGGAGCAAAACGTGTGGATGCGCGGAGCGTGTGGGTGTCGTACTGCGGGGAAGGCGTGCGCGGATCCGGAAAGTGCCATCAACATGCTTGCAGGTTCTGTATTTGGGGTTACCACCGGTCCAACGCGGTAGCACGAAGACCACGACTGTCTTTTGGGCAACGTTGCCACGTTGTGTACGTTTAGTTGTCAAGTACCATGTGAGCAAGACGATCATGAGACAGACAAGGCTTCTGAGTAGTGACAATACATTGCAGATAGCTCATCAAAGTATGAGGTCGTGAGAGCCGCTAATAGTCGCTTGTGGGCATGACAAATAATGGAGTCTGTGGTGGAAACCACACCCATCCGGCAGCCAAGTAAAGTACAATGCATCATGAGACCATCCATCCTTTGACCCAACCATTGATAAGAAAACGCCGGCAAGACCATGATCGTGAGTGGAATAATAGCGCAGGGTATCCAAAAGCCAACGGAAGTGACTGAATCGCAGAATGCCCAATGATAAGCGAACACCAAGTATGAGTAAGAAAAAACGCAATGCAAACCGGGTATCCAAGGCCTGTCCAACACCAAACGTAACTCGTACAAGAAAATTCATCAGCTCATGACTCCGCAACCCAAGGACGAGCCACGTGCTCGAAGCGCTGCTCGCAGTCGCGCAACAATGCGCACTCTAGGATATCATGAACATTCCAACGCTTTTCGACGTCAGTCTCAAGGCAACCCCTGACTAATGCGAGGGCATCGTCGATGTTGCTTGCTTGGGCCGACTCTGCGTTACGTATGAGATCCGCATCCCATTCGCAGTTCTTGATCTTCTCAATTGTCTTGATATCGAGGCCGTCATTGAAAGGTAGAGTCGCGGTGAGTAGAGCGAAAACAACTACGCCAAACGCCCAGATGTCCGCCGCAGGTGAGAAGACGGGCCCAGGTGTATTGAACAGCTCAGGAGCGGCATACTGTAGGCTACCGGCAATAGAAGTACTAGTCTCTGCGGGGCCTATGTTCTGGTTGTCACCGATGGAGTGTGGCTCGGGACCATCGCGCTGGTCGCTGACAATGAAGTCTGCCATGCCGAAATCACACAGGAGAAGATCACCACCGTCCTTCTCGGCGTCGGATACAGTCATGTCGAGTAGACAGTTCTCGAGCTTGATGTCGCGATGTACAACCTGGACGTCGTTGTGCAGGTAGCGCATAGCTGATGCCAGCTGATAGGCATAGCGCTTCACCAAGTGAGCCGGTAGTCCGTTCTTCTTCTGGCGGCGTGTGTCGCGGATCAAGTCGAAGAGAGTCCCGCCCTTGTTCAGCCTAGTGATGCAGAAAGTAGCATAGTCGGTAGTGTACACCCTGAGGAGGGGAAGAATGTAGGGGTGCCGTAGAAAGCGCCAGATCTCGACCTCGTGGTCGAACTGTGTCTGGATCTGTTCGTTCTCAATCTCAGACTTGTCCTGTTGCAGCCGGCGAACAATCTTAACAGCATCGATGACAGGCTTTCCGTTCTCCATGCTTGTGACCTCCTTGACGACGCTGAAACCGCCATAGCCAATCTGTTTTCCAATAATGTACTCGCTGTCATAGCCAATGCCTTGGCCT